GAGGAAGAGGAGCAGGAAGAGGAAGAGGAGGAGCAGGAGCAGATGGAGGAGGAGGAAGAGGAGGAGGAGGAGGAGGAGGAACACTGTGTTGGTTCTCTGTGCATTTCCTGGGTGAAGGCCCTGGGTGAGGCTACCATTGAAGCGCCTTATTTAATCCTACAGCAAGCCAGCAGAGGAAGGGTAGTCCTTTCTTTAAGCTACAGATAGTGAAACGCTTGCCCAAAGAGCTCAAGCAGCTTGCGGAAACCTCACCGCCAAAAAAGGGCAGAGCCCACGGTCCAGCCCCTGTTCCCCAGCACAGTAGCACCGCAGCCCAGCCGGGGCTGGGAACGCTCTCCCTGTGCGGCCTGCAGTTTGGCTGTAGCCCCATCCCTGCTGGTGCTCATGTCCACAGGGTGGCGGCAGCCCGTCCTCTGGTCAGAGGCAAGCAGTCCTTGGGCCTTGGCAGGCACACGGTGCTGCCCGCCATGCGGGTGACACCCCACTCCAGGGGGCGGCCTGGGCGCAGTTTGCAGCTGGATCCTGAGGGTTAAGGGTGTCGCTGTTTCTCAGATGCTGACGGAGAGCAGTGGTCAGGCCTGGCCTCAAGAACACAGACTGACCCTTCCCTTGTGCTTCTATCCTCACACCCCTCCCGCACCTCAGATGGCCTTTCCTTGGGCCTCAGGGGTGGTGGAGAAAGCGCCCATTCCCATTTCCCAGCCACTGGGCCAGCCTGAGCCAGGGCTCCAGGCTCCGGGCAGCGAGTTCCTGGGGGTTGGGAGTGAGGAGGGCCTCAGGCAAGGAGGTCTGGTGTTCGGGGAGAAGACAATTATTACATGAAGGGAAACACAGGGTTGTGGTGGAATCCTTGGAGAGTGCCCGCCATGATGTGTGTCCAGGAGAGCTGTGCAGCGGCAGCCACCTGTTTCGAGGCTCTGAGAGGAAAGGCCGCCTGCAGCGGCCATGCCATGGGGTCTGTGTGTTTGGGAGGAGCACAGCTATGCGGGGGGGAGGGGGGGATAGAAGGGGGAAGGGGTGCAGGGAAAGTCCCCCGTAGCGCTCATTAAGGTTCTTGTTCCTGCTCTCGATTCTGGCCTTGAAGTTCTTATGAAAGTGAAGTAGAAATCACTTGACATTTGAAGTTTATTAACTGCCTTTTCTTCTTGGTAGAAAAAAGGTCAAATGCATTTTCTTTCCTTGCATGGTTTGTTGTTATCATGCCCTGAAAAGATGTAGCATTCAAGCTACAGCTGGGAAAATAGGCCTCAGGCTATAATGGTCCCAAAGAAAGAAGCAAATAGAGATTGTCTATCCGGCCACCTCTCCCGCAAGCTAGAAGGCAGCAAACGGTGGGCACAACCAGCGGAGGCGAGCGGTGCGCACGTGCCCGCCCCAGGCTCTGGGACTCGGAGAGGATGACCCGTCCTCAGGCAGCTCTGACTCGTGGAAGAGACACCCCGTGTGTATCTACGTGAACGGCTGAGCTGCCGGCACACTCCTCCCGGCGTGATAAGGTGCCCAAAGGAGCCGACAGAGCTACCTGGGTGTTGTGGGGTCTCAACCATCAGCCCTGCTCCAGGAGGCCCGGGCTCTCCGACAGTGGGAGGCTCCTCATTCTGCACTCTGTTCGGAAGCTTTCTCCAGCGCCTTCTCCGCCCAGCCTGCCTTCGGGAGCTTACTGTGAC